GATGAGCTTAGGGTAACGTCCGTCCGGTGTTTAAATTTCTCTAATACTGTCAACAAGCGGTACTGGTTGATGCGAATGGTCTTCGGTCACTCACATTCAGTACTAGTAAACGCCAACCATGTTGTTTGAATGACTTCCTATCTTCATCGTCTTAGCTATCGGGAAGATAAACTATCAAGCCATGAAACATTGGACACATTACCATGCCTTCCATCTTGTTAACTCTTCTTAACAACTAATATCAAACTTCAGTACACTGTCATGTCACTTTGCTTGGTGCCTGCGAGACATATTGATAGATTTGGATCAGCACAATGAGGATTAGGCAAATAGACCCAGACCAAACATTTCCTTGTGATTGACTCCTAGAATTCAATTAGAATTAATAATTAGAAAGAATAACAATAAGTCAACGTTTCCTATTATGACTTTGAAGCTTAATTATACCCAACTTGAATAAAAGGGTGGAACTACAGGCGGAACGGACGAAGATGTCAAAGTCAGAGTCGGAAAGGCAAGGCAGACCTTCATCAACCTGAAACCAGTTTGGAAATCTTCTGCACTAACTCAGCATAAGGAACAAGATTCGCATTTTCAACACAAATTTCTAGTCGGTCAGTGCTTCTATAGGGGTCAGAAACGTGCACTGCGTGTCACGAAGATGATTTCCAGCAGGTTTCAGACTGTCATTAACAGCCTGCTTTCACTTTATACTGGATGTCAAATGGCCGGCCAGAAAGAATTAGTACGAAGAAACTCTGCAGTGGAACAAACCAACCAAAGACGATTGCTCAACAAATATGTAGGAGAAAGTGGAGATGAATCGGGCATACATTGAGGAGGCCACAGAATGACATCACACGCCAGGCCATAGCTCGAGTGGAATCGATCAGTGGGTTGTCTGTGCGAGGGTGACATGAAGGAAGAGATGAGAGAGTTTGGTCAATTGAAATGAAGAACAGTATAAGGAATGAACGAAAGATATCCTGATATAATTACACGAATTAGCAGAATATTTTTAAACACGTTCCACACGTTGTGTTCACCGACTGTGATCACTGTTAATCCATCCAAGATGGCTACTTTGTTTATAGTGATTTAAGCGGTAAATATTATTCTAATTACATCTGCCGTGAATATTTCACTCACTAAGATTACTTAAACGGAATGAAATCAGTGTGAAAACGACTTAGTTTTATGGTCTGCTGACGTAATTGATCATGTTCATTCAGTCAGATTATAATAATGGTGTTTACTAGAAAGACTATCACGTTTACCATGGAGTATATAATTAAAGGCTGAGGTTAAGAAATATAAAAGTGTATGATTAATTTGCCATTAAATACATATGATTAAATGATCAATGTACATTGTAATAAACACTACAATAAATTATACACTTGCCTATCGTGTATATTTTCAAACTCTTCCCATAAAAAACCCTGTGAAATTTTATTACTTGTTGTTGTTGTTCTTGTTTTTCCCCAAAACTGTTTATGCGTTTTTAGGTATTAATGAGAAACTTCTTTCATACATTTATTCCCCTTAATGAATTTGAATAAAGCAAGAACAACAGTTTTGCAGAATAAAATGGTACCATCATTGCTTATTTCGTTGGCTTCTCATCAGTTGCTTACAAGCCAAAGTCATTATTAAGTATATCTCCAGAATCAACCTTAACATATTTGCAAAGAGTTCGTTTTTAACAAAAATCAATCAATATATGTATACAATAGTAATATATATAATAATAAACACTTTATCCCAAACAATAATGACCATACAAAATGGAAACTTTCAACATTACGTAATCAGGTGAAAGAGAGGTGAAAATATCCAGTTACCAGGGTAAAAGAAGACTGATAACCGCTTCTTTCTGAACGCATAAATCAGGTTTCAGGCGCTTGATGGAGATGGCTTCAGCAAACTTGAGGAGAATTGAACTCTTTTGCCTATTGATAATTTTGAACGATCTTTCGACGTCCACCTCATGACCTGTGTCAAGGAGATGCCTGGCGATGGCACTGTTTAAAGCATTTGTTCCCTTTAGATATAAGCTTTTTGGTACATGTTCAGAAAATCGGAGGTGTGCCCTTCTTTCTGTTTTCGAATGTAACTGCTCCGCAGATACATGTAAATTTGTATATACTGTTGGGATTAACATGAGAAGGACATCTATCGATTTTTTTGATTGCACCAAAGAGCAGGTTGTTCGATAGATGGGAACGAGCTTAGCTGCAGGATAGGTTCTGCCTAGTGACGTCCTCAATCTTCTGTTGACAATTGCTGTAATATTTTCACCTTTATAATCAAGTTGAATTTAGATGGGCTTTTACTCCACTGTGATTTCCTTGACATTTGAGACCTCAGATCTTCTGTACTTGTTAATGAACCTTCTTCTTTGAACTTCTTTGCCTTTTAAAACGTGTTTCTTGATAAATTTCTTTCCCTCTTTCTCTCTCCCTCTCGTCTACTGAGTTCATTAAGTACAAAGTATAAACAACGTACTGTAGTCGTATATACTAGAATTTGGACAGATTCCTTCTGATGAGTTTATTTCTCCTGATTACCTATTTATTTCCAGACATTTTTGAAATAAATACGTTACAGTCTTTGTGATGACGTTCAGTCTAGCTTTCAAAACATTGATTTCATAACTTATAACTCCTATTGCCGACACTTGAACAGAATTTTACCACTAACAATGTACTACTTTTAAGGTGAATCCTTTTCATTCCTTTTTTTTCTCAATGTGAATAGTAGTATGGCTTTATTGTCTGACTTGAGTTATTACCTTCTAACTGTTTAAATCTCTAAGCAACTTTATTGACAAGATAAAGCTGTAAGATGTGATGTTTAAAGAAATAGAGATCTAAATAGTAGCTACAGCAAGTAAGTATCACTGAATAGTTTATGAGCTAGTGAGTTAATAATAATACTTGAAATGATGTGCATCATTGCGTGTCCCCTTGTTTGCCTTTATGAGGTTTTGAAACGACATCATTTGAGATGGTTAGGACATGTGCTACCTATTCTTGGCCGTCGCCTACCTCAACGGGCGATGTCATAGGATCAAGCTGGAAAAGAGCTAATGATGGTCAGATCAAAACTTGGAGTCAGTCCATGAAATCTTTAAGTTAGTTTGAGTTACATAGAGAGGTTCAGGCTTCCTGGTTGGGGTCTTCGGGATTTTAAAAGCCAATAGCTGGGAATCGTTTGAGGATATGGCTCGGAATTGTCCTCATTGGTGCAGATGCGTTCACTCTTTGTGTTCTCTTATATCCACTAAACCCTATTGTTCTTCCGTGTTACTATTCTTTCTCTCTCACATCCCTGCTTATTATTGATGTCTTAAGTGCGTTGGTGGCACATTGTTAGAATGCTCGCCGGCCATGTATGTGGCCTGGATGACACACTCCTAAAACCTCGCTAAGCCAAGCCTCTAGCTTGAAGTGCTATGTTCCACTGAAAACCTAAAGAAATAGAAAAAAGCACTGTTGTTTTGAATCTCTCCTTTTTGCTTCTTTTGCCCTCCTATGTGTGCTACGTAGAGTATGGCGTCTCGAACTGTTGCACTTCAGTGCAAAGTTCTGCTTTGAAACCAGTCAGTCAGTTGCTTTTTTCTGTCAATTTTTTAGAATTGTTATTCATACTGTAGAGATTAATTTAGCTATTATTAGGTTATAATTATAGATACTACAATCTAAAAAGGTCTCCATGTACTTAGGAAAGGTGAAGGTAACACACTACAAACTTGTCTGATTATTGAATATCCATGTTTTATGACTTCAGTGGTTTGGTATGAGCGTAAGTCTCGTATTTTTACGACACATTTAAATGTTCTACAATCCAATAATGGATATCTCCTTGGTGGTTGTGAAGATAAAATATCTGCTACTTGCAATTAATGGAAAATATTTTCACCCACATTTACATATCATGTAAAATTAGTCCATGACAGTACTTAGTGAACAGAGAATATTGACTCAAAAAGCATAACAACTTCCCTTTGACTTCAGTTAACTGTTTGATTTTTAAAGGACTTTGTCTTCATCGCAGTGTAAAAAATTGAGGCCATAGCTTGTTGAGAGAACTTTTAACTTAAAGAGGGTCATTTTGTAATTTCGAAGAGTTGGTTTTCAGGGATTTAATTAATTTCAAGACAGGACCCAAACTGCTTTCATTTAGAGAGCTATTGAAAAAAAGGGATTACCAGACAGCTGTTTCCAACTTTAGCGGGACTCTTCATCAGTATGTACCCACGACCTAACCAAGGATAGGGACCAAAATGAAGTTACCTGACTCCCGAGTAGGAAGTTATGAGCGGCAGGGTTTACCCAGTTAGGTGTAAGGATCAACACTTGCCGCTGAAATTGGCTGCCGGTTGCCAGAAATTAGAACTGATGAGCCATTAGATTCCGTCCTAGTGACTGGATGGTCTACGAGCTCACGTTGTAACTTGATGGTCTTGGGTCCGATCTCTTGGTGGGATGGTGACTGCGTACTTCTGAAGAGTCTCAAACAAGGACAAAACAACCCAAAGTTTCTGTTAGTTTCAGGTATCTTTTACTCGTTAATTAACTCTTAATATATATACATATATATATGTGCGTTGCTGGCATAGCGGTTAGGACGCTCGCCGACCATGCACATGGTCCGGGGTTCGATCCCCGGCCGACTCACTCCTTTACCTCGCTAAGCCAGTAATAATGCTGGTGAAGAGGAAAGGTTGGGCATGAGGCTAACAACCCCATCCTGTAAAATAAACAGTGCTACAGAAACTTCAAGCCACTAGCTTGAAGCTCTATTCACTGGGAACGTGAAGAAAATATATATATATTTATAACATAGATCCCACAAACGGTTATTTTAATTATAACTGTTTGACACTATTCTAGATGCATAGGCTATGTCAGAGATATTTCAATCAGTTTCACTTCTGTAACTTTATTTATGCACTGTCAGTGATTTCTTCTTTTTTTTGCAATTCACTCTTACAGGACAGTATGATCTGCAAATTATGAATGTAGAATTATCAGATGAAGGAGCTTATGTCTGCCAGGTGAATTTTAAGCGCCAACAGTATTTAAGTCAAACAGCTGTTTTAACAGTTCAAGGTAAGTGAATGATCAATAAACTTCAGTTGTTACCTTTTGTTTTTATCTTATTTTGCCTTCATTTTCAATATTTACAATGTAATTGCTTATGCCTTTAATTAATTTTTAAAATAGATCTTCAATTAACTTTTTGTCATTATTTCAATAGCAGTCAATTACAATCAATTAAAAGGCATTTTCGAAACTTCTTAATGGTTATTAATCCCATATGCTATGAAATGATATTAGTGTACATTTGGGCAGTCTTATCAGTATCCATTGTAAAACCAACAACAGTGTGAATCTGTACTCAAAGTAAGGGACTCAAACTCCTAGGGAAGTCTTTGATGTTAGATGGCTGGAGGTAATCGGCAGGAAACCCAAATAACTTAGCACTAAGTTCTCTGACTACAGAACTATGTGACATGGGTTAAAATCTCAGAAGAATCATGAGTTCCTTCAAGATTAAAGACATACCTTGCTGACGATTACCAGCAAGCACGAAACCTAGGTCAAAGGCTTCACAATGGAGAGCTATCTATCATGGTAGCCATATTGCAAACTTGGCTGGCTGAATTCAGTCAAGTCTAGACACATGACACCAGTTACTGCTTGGTGTCCAGTCAAAGTAATGGAAGTCTTTGTTGCTCGACTTTTCTGAAGGTAACTATACGATTTCCAACAGATCTCACAGACATGAACTGCTTTTGTCAGGTCGAAAGTTACTCCCTTTGAACAATCAAACATCTAGATAACTTGAATTAAGCCGAATCGTGTTAAACAAAGTTTCTAGTTTAGTCGGCTGCGGATATTAGATGTACCAAGACAAAATCTATTCATGGAACCTGTTTATTTCCTGTATGAATGCCAGTAATTACGCCACAGATGTGCGACTTGCTTCCCAGTGGAACAGCTGACTTCAGTCAAACAAGCACAACCTAACTATCTATAGAGGTGGTGAAACAGGCTGAGAAGCGAATAAGAAATATTTAGCTAGTGTCGTTTCGAATGATTTTTATAAAGTAAATCAGATGAAGATATAATCAAAGTTTTCAAGAGTTATTCTGTAGGGATCACTGATTGATACCAGTTAAAGAACCACTAAAAATTGGCGAGTAGTGAACAGCTGTTTTGTCCCAGTGTGGGACTCGTTGGCACAATGTGCCCACCAAGGTTTGGACCAAGGACCCTCCAGTTACATGGCAGGCTGGTATACCATTCAGCCACTGAGACCCAAACTAAAACGAAACAGCTATCCAGTACTCTCTGGCTCCCAATGGTTCCCCAAATTATATAAGTCTTCAGTGTGGCTAAATGCCATTTAGACTTTTAACTGTGAACACCAACATTCATCTGAATACTTCATGCATGTCAGCTGGATAAGCTTCATTAAAATGCTCAAGAAAACTACTCTGAAGCACTAAAGCCATGGTCGTCAATCAGATGACCAGCCAAAAGTTAGATAGGAATGGTAAAAAGAGTTAAGTTTATCAGATTACTGACTGTAAACTGTAGAAATAGTTTACACGTAATTTCGAATTGTTTAAATTGTCAAGCCATGTCACCTTACTTTGATGTGCCTAAAAGGGTAAACGATCTGGTTGAGGTGATTTAGATACTTACAAAAGGTTGAAAAACTGATCACGGTTATTTTGATCGATTATTATTTGATCTTTTTTTGTACAAATTTCGAAATCCTTGTTACTCTTTATTTCATAACATTGTTCGTCACATTATTTATTCCTTTGCGCTCCTAGTGGAATCAAGGCTTCAAGCTTGAGTTCTGGAGTTCAGTAACGTTAGTGTTTTTAAAGGGTGGGGTTAAGAGAGTGTCAGCATGGGGTCGAATCTGGACCACGTTTGATTGACGAGCATTGTACCACTGAACTGCCAACTCTTGTTCGTTCCACAGTATATCCTATATCTATTATACTGACACCTTCTTTGAATGAAATTCCAGCAATGGATTTGAAGCATTGAAACTTGAACGCATCCTTGTTAAATTTCTTATTTTTTTTGTATCTGATTCTTGAAGTATTATTATCCAAGTTTTGCCCATGCATTTTCTGCTTATTCGTTTTTAACTTCTACTCTATTCAATAAATCAATTTCTACACTTTACGTTAAAAGAAATATTATGGCGCCATCTCATTCACTTTTGCTTAACATTGGAGACTGATTATACATACATAAGTTAAATGTTATGGAATTATATATACTGGATCCAATCTTGGTGATGTTAACTAATCAATAGAATTAAAACTTATTCTTTAATATGATGTCAGTAATATATATTAACTCTTAGTTTCTTTTTTTTCCCCTTGAACAAACAACAGTAAATTAGAGAATGGCATTTCTTATTAGTTTATTTTACAATTTTTAAGTTACGTCTACGTTTTTTTTTCATGTCACATTATATGAGGAAGAGAGAGAGGGGAGGGTTTGGGTGAAACTGCTTTTATTTGTCGGGAATTTTCTTTTCTCACTTACTATGTGATGAGTGAAAGGAAAAGTAGAGAATATATGATTGTCCTATAAGTACTATACTGTTTTGTCTTCACAGAGAAATTAGAAACGCTGTGTGTCTTTGGTGCATATATATGTATATATATTTAGTGGGATGTTTTCTAAAGTTTTTCCATGGGTACTGAATTCGAATATATGCAGACATATATATATATATTCTTTTTTATGGCGTTGGCATTTCACATAGAAGATTAAAATAGAAACGGCTAAAACATGTTTTTTCTTCTAACTATAGAAAGACGAGGGGAAAAAAAGCAAGTTGACTGTTACGTCACCAGTCTTTACAGGGATAAGTTATTAATTTAACTAATTTCTTAGTTATGTTCTGTCAGTAAACATCCTGGTAGGCGACTTAATGCGGCTTATCTACTGTGTGTTCCGATGGTAGGCCCGCCGACCATGCACATGGTCCGGAGCTGGATCTCCTGCCGACGCACATCTGATATCAATGGTCAGCCTGCTAAATTTGGGCTACCGATATCACATGCTGAAAATTCCATACCTGTACCAAAATAATCTGTGTGGAATCAAGCTATAATAAAAATAAATAAATAAATATATCCACTTAAATGTACATCACTGATATACTATTCAAAGGTACATCAATTAATTCATTGTGGCAGTATATAAGACAGCCCTCAGTTAGCAAACTTTTACTGATGTAAAGTCTGATGGTTGAAAGGGAAATGAAGATTTGGAACTCTGCATTGTTCGGCTGCATCTTAGCTGACCCGGTTAAGCCATTTGGTTCATAATGGCTCGTTCAGTTGACTGTAGAGCTGTTAACCCATGACTAAGATTTTTTCACTCGCAACTGTCATCTTTTTTAATGAATCATTTAATTCAAGGTCACCTGAAATAGTCCAATAAGAAATTTCTGCTTGGTGCTCTCATAATTAGAATAAACTGTTCACTTATTTAAGAATAAGTAACAAATGCAAATACCAATCGGACACTGGGACACGATTCAGTGGCTTCTTACTTCTAAAGTCACCAACAGCTAATGTTATTGGCAAGTATTTATCCTCACACGCCACCTGATGGACCTTCACTGATTACGACTTCTCACTAGAACTGCGGTAGACTTCGTCCTTTAGCCAGTCACTAGTGAGCATCGAATTGATTTCTAAGAGTAAGTTTATAGGAATCTGATTGGTTTTTAGTTTGATCACAGTTCGATATCAGTTTCATTCAATTGTCTAACTGTTTTAATAGATCCTCGAGAAAAATTAATTTACAGTCCAGCATAGTAATATGAATCATTATGGACCAGACTATCTGAAACACATTTAGTTTGGCAAACTAATTCTGTAGATGATTTAAAGTTAAGACAAACATCTGTCTAAGCAACATAAGTGGGGTTAGCAATTTCTCGCTCACGAGGTAGGTGGTCTATATAACTGATCATCGAAACAAAAACACTTAAAAAGTTATGCTATCTATTAACCTCCATCTATTCAACTAAATCAATAAATGTCTGTTTGGTATATTTCCTAGAACCACGAATCGGTAAAAGTTAGAATTTATGTGCCGCTAGATACAGTCCCAGTGGCTGAATAGTATGCGAGCCTGTCTTGTAACCAGAAGGTCCTGGGTTTAGAATCCTGTAGGTAACTGTTGCCTAAGATTCTCAAACTAGGATGGAATGGCTATCCAATACTCCCTGTTTTCTGTTGTTCTGTAACTGATATCAATTCGTGAACAAACTTGAAACTAATCAAATCCCTACACACCAACTCCTGAAAGAACCAAATACACTGATGATCACTGAAAATTACTTAAGACTGATTCCAGAAAAATGAATAAACAGTTCATAGGTGTGTGTTTAAGAAACTAAGCGACCACTGGAGGAATAAACAAACATTTTCTAAATTGGTTTTAAACTCGCTAATTTCATTCATATGCGTCAGTGTTCCATTCGTAGAATGATTGTCAACCATGTGCATAGTCCAGGGTTCGATTCCCGAGTGACCTACTACCTTACCTCGCTTAGCCAGTAGTGAACTCAGTGAAGAATGAAGGTTAGGTGTGAGGCTAGCAACCCATCCCTCTTTCAGAAGAGATCAACTTTGTTAAATACACTGACGATTTGACAGTTTCGTTACCAGCTATGTCCCGAGCTGAATGTTCCAAAGTGAATAACCTTTTTTCAGGCATAAGCCACTGATCTCACGTTAAATCCGTCTAAGTGTCAAACAGCTAACTTCACTTTCAGGTATAAAACGTGATCTGCAAGAACTTTTTCGTTCATATGATGCTTGTAGCATAGAGGGAACTGAATTAGGGACTAAGTGAAGTATAGAATACTTGGGAATAGTTCATTTCTCTGACCTTACTTAGTTGGTCATCCTATATCTTGTCAATTTCTTAGAAAATATTTCGTTTAACCTTCTACACTAAGAAGTTAAGACGATTAGGTATCACTCGACTTCTGCCTTTACAGTTTGTTAACTCTAGCGTTTCACCTACTGTACTTTATTCCCACCCAACCCTTA